GTGCTTATTGATGTAATCTAATTAAGTTTAACCATACTACAAAATAAGTCCATGTTGCTGTTCGGTGCTATCGTTAAAGCAAAAGTTGACTTCCCTCCACTTTTCCTTACCAAGTGCACTGAATAATTTGTTGCAATATTATGTGAAAAGTACACTGCAATGGCAGCAGATGAGACTTTTTAAACTACATGGAGAATCATTGTTGTACTCGGCATTGGTCGGTTTAGTTTGGGGCTTTTATTGTGACTTTAAATAATGCTTCTTCTTGTGCCATGCAGTTCCACTTGTGTTGACATGGACCAGACTGAGAAGATCAAATACAACCCAGCATGGCACCTCAGGGTCATTTCCAATGGTAAACCAATGAATCTGACAGGTAAAAAACTCATTTAACTGTCTCTAGTAATACTTGTTAAACTGAGTCAAACCAGCTAAAATAAAAATGCTCTTAACCAATCGCTACATAAAAAATCAAGGCATTATGATAGTTTTCAATGTGTTTGCCAGTAAATACAGTATTTAGTACCTTTCTTCCTTCTCTCCATCTGATAAACAAATATGACACCAATGTCTAGTCCATAGCATATCAGAAACAACAAAACCCCCCTCACCTCGCTGCCTGTGAATCTGTATATAAAGCTGGTGATGAGCTCTGGGTACAGAGACAAGCGCACCACTGCGTTGATGGTCTGCCCTGCAACTGTCCTGTTATCCATCATCAGCTCATAAAACCCTGCAAAATCAGAACATTACACATGCTTTTAGTCACAGCAGGGAAATGTACAATGCAGACAAAATAAAATAAGAAAACTAACATTATAAAGTGAAGTAGCAGCTTGGGATGGGAACAATTAATCGAATATTCGAAATTATTCAGGTATTCGAACAATTATTCATGTATTCGAATATGAGTTTTGAACATTTGTATTAATTTTTTTTTTTGGGAGTGATGCCTAAGTTGATTACATATTATCAAATTGAGTAATTCAATTTATATATATACGACTGTGCCATAGCTAAATGTGTTAGGTGACGTCTAAAGGTGTGTTTTGCTCCGCTCACCGGCCCCTCACAGCGGGCAGAGCTGCAGGTGCTGATCTCTATAGCAGCAGAAAGCTTACACACCTTCCGGCACAGACTGAAAACTCATCTCTTTCGACTCCACTTCGAGCGATAGAATTATTAACAAAGCACTTATATACTAATAAAGGACTGGCTTATCTATAGCCAGTTGAGTAGCACTTGAAATGTTTGGCTCTATGAAACCTGATGTACTTATATGATTCTGTTTTCTTCAAGGTTGTGTCTTCCTGGTCGAATGTACTTATTGTAAGTCGCTTTGGATAAAAGCGTCAGCTAAATGCAATGTAATGTAATGTAATCTCTCACGTCCGGTTATACTTCACTCGCGTTTATGTCCAAATCCATCAGATCTAGCTAGTTCTAGCTAATGATATGGCTACTGCCCCTCCCTACACGCAGATCACGCAGACTCAAACCTCATCTTAGGCCCAAATGTGGCGCAAATGAGCTCCGCAGCCGTTGCGAGGTTCCGGCGCTAACATACATAGACATTTTGACTGGAGAGATTTAGTTTTGCCGGTATTCAACATATTTTACCAGTCATAGTCCGGTAATTATTTACACTCTAAGAAGAGTCCTACACAACAGACATGGCGTCAAAAAGGAGTAATGTGTGGAAATATTTCGACCAGGTTAGTGAGTGCGGTGCAGAGGTCAAACTATGCCAAATTAAACTTATATATACATGCTATACCCGCAACCTCCGTTCCAGCTGAGAGGGTCTTCTCTACAGCTGGACTGATTGTGAATCGCCTCCACACATGAAAGCTGTAGGCCTATAGCTGTCAAACTGTGATCACCAGGTCAATACATTTGACAAATTCGACGTGGTTTCTACACTTATTTGAACATGTATTTATTTATTTCCAAAAATTATTGAAAGAAAATTGGGTATAAAAAAAAAAATTTGTACCCACATTTTTTTTTTTTATAAGATATGTACATTTCGGTTAACCGGTTAACCGTTTTTTGGGGGGTCGAATATTCGAATATACATTTGCTTTCAAATTCCCATCCCTAGTAGCAGCTACTAATAACAAGAGCAAAATGCAAAAGTGTTCATCGCACTGTTGAGGCCGTGGGTTATTGCACAAGATGGTTTTTAGTCTATATTGGTGAGTATACACAAGCGATCCTTTTTTCCTGTATACACCACATAGCTGATTGACAAGGGCATAGTGACATTTATAGGTAGTAAGTAAGTCGTTTTGTTGTCGTATTTAATATCTCTCTAGAATAAGAATAAATGTACCTCTATGGAAAGGTGTTGCAGTCAGCATCTGCTTGTAGTAGTAATAGTAGAGCCCGCTGCCTCCCTGGAAGGTGATTTCCCGCTCTAGCTCCTGAGACACAAGTAAGTGAATTTCAGAATTGATGCAGTGAACTTGAAATGAATGCAGGCAGACTCCTGAAAAACAAAGTCACCCACCTGTCTAGTGGAAAACCAGAACTTCCTGTCATGATAAGCAGACAGATACGCTGCATAAAGCATGCCACAGGCAACTGCTGCCAGACATCCGAAGAACACCCTCACCAGGCGCTGCAAAAAACCTGCAGAGCACATATACCAGTGAACACACCATATATCACATCATACTTATTAGTATAATGACACGTTTTTGTCTGTATTTTCATAGAAACTCAGGAATTAAATAGTTTTAAACTGCTGATGAAGTGTTTGAGGCTATGTCTTAAACAACATTACAATGTTAACAAAATAACTTGTAACTCCTGATATGGTCCAAGTGCATCCCAAATTGTCTCAGCACAACGAGTCAACTTTTTTTCTTTTTTTTTACTATTTCCAGTTATTTTACAACTCTTTTTAGCTGAATTATAGTTCAGTATTGTTCTTAAGCTTTAAATTAGATACAAAAATGTTTGTATTGTGATTAACAATAAGAACAAATTAATTGGCACACACTTTACATGAAAAAGGTACTATAAGCCTGTTGTGAGATTGCCGAGGTTAAACAAGGTAGTGAGAGCAATACAAAAAGATCAATTAGTCTAGATTCACATATTTTTAGTTAATCAAAACCTCCTACACAGAGTTATGTTAAGTTCAGTTTTTGTTTGTCTGCAGGATAACAGAAACATTAGTTGACCTATGTTCATGAAAGTTGGTGAAAGGTAGTAGCATGGGCCGATGAAGAAAACTTTACATTTTGAAGCATATCTGAATCAAGGGTTGCATTAATGCATTCTTTTTCACTTTGCCCTTCAAGTTGTTAGTGTGTTCCTATGAAGGTGAGTGAAATTGTATGAATTGCTGGTATGATTGTTGTATCTGTCCATCAGCATTTCCTGTGCAACTCAGGATACAGACATGTGGTTTTAGAGGAAGTATAGGCCTACAAATGACCATTACATGTATGTATGATATGTATGTGTAATGTGTATTTGTAAAGCGCTTTGAGAGTCATTGATAAAGCGCTATAATAAATATAAGGATTATTATTATAATAATAGGCCTACAAATGTTTTTTTACACAATAATATATGATTAAAGTCAGGTCTTCCTAAATGTCACAAAACATTAAGGCTTATTGAGTACAATAAAACGTTGTATAGAAGTGACACAGCCATACAAAAAGATGATCAGAGAAGCATTGGTAGAGTGGGGGGAAAACAGTGGACTGACACTAATATTGATCAGTTTGCAGGGCATTAACTTACCTGCAGAAGATCTCGTGGATCTTTTAACAGGTGACTCGGGTGTTTTTGATTCTTCTTCTTTATGTTGAGCGTCCTCTTCTTTAACCTCACCCTCATCTTTCTGCTGCTTTCCGGCTCCATTTCTGCCACTGGTCACCTCATCCTCCTCTGTTTTCACCGGCTCTTTAATACAAGGTAACAACAGTTAGGTACTTTAACGACAAACTGTGTACAAATGTAAATGTAAGTTACCCGGATGTTTTTGAACAGGAAGCTAACCGTTTTAGCTAGCAAAGCGCTAAATTCGCCAAACTTACTTGTCTGCACATCAGGTTCATGTTGGCTCTCTCTCTCTTCTTTATCTCCATCCAAAGTGTATTTTTTCCGACATTTTAACTCAGTCATGACGAGATACGATTAATCCGAGAGGAGTTGTCTGGTGTGTTGAGACACCAGCATGCTAGCTAACAAGAGGTTAGCTAACCCAAGAGCCCTCAAATCAGTACTTCGCTTTGTGGTACTACACAGGTGACAAGCCGAAATACAAACAACCCTTTTCTGGTTCAAGTTGTCTTGTATTAAGTTGTAAATCAGCAGTTTTTGTATTGGTGGTATGGACTGGACTGTGGGCTCTTACAGCGGAAGTCGCAGATGGCTTCTTCTTCATCATTCCGGCAGAGTAGGCTCAGATGCAGTAAGTGCATCTGTAGCATTTAGCTGCCTCCCACCGGTGCTTTACCCCTTGTGGTCTTATGTGTAGTATTGCATAGCTCTCTTTTGATATATTCTATAGACATACATATCCATTTAAACCATAGATAATACAGCTTGTATGGTAACTTGTACCTCATCTTTCCTATTGCCAGTAGTGTAAAAGTACAGTTACTCAAGTACTGTACTTAAGTTCAATTATGAGGAAGTTTGTCCTTTACAAACATGAGTATTTCTAGTTTCTGCTACTTTGTTATTCTACCCCACTACAATTCCAGCTAGTATTGTATTTTTACATTTATTTAATACCTGCTTAAGTTATTTTTCAGATATGGATTAATGATATAAAACATACTCAGCACTTATAGGACTTTAGTTACACCTGGATTAAAATTCACAAACTACCCAGCAGTAAATAAAATAATAATAAATAGTTCCACCTTACAAGCTATTATAAACCTATTAATGCATCAATATTTATAATGAAAACATATATATATCATTCCGAAATTGGCCAATCTGGATAATAAGTACTTTAACTTTTGGTAGAAATTTTAAAAAAACTTTATTTTTTCTTCTATACGATATAGTATACTAGATTAAACACACAAACTAATACAAAAACAATGTCCTACTATGTTTCAAATTGCTTTTGAACAGTATTTTCTTTCTTTCAATTGGCTGTGAACACAGTAAAATGTTCATAGAAAGCACAAATATCACTTACATCAATGTGTTAAAATATTCTTTAAAAACATTTAAAACCAGAGAGAACACAATTAGTGCAAACAATATTAAAAATAGTAAAAGAACATAAAAGACGACATCAAAAAAAATTCAGGAACCGGCTAAATCTGGTCCCAAAGTAAAAAAAAAAAAATGGGAGTAAATTTCCCAACACCTAATGTATGTACTGTATACAAAACACACATTTAAACTTAACAATATCACTGGGATTCTTTAAGGAGCCATCTCTCTGGCAGATTTCCACTTTCAACAATAAAACTATCAAAAAAACACCATAACCAGTATTTAATCTGCTTATTCTTCTTCTGGTGAGTCGATGTTCGAAATCATTTCATCATCAGGAATCTTTTTTTCTGTTTTGGAGTGTAGGAAATAACGTTAGTCTTTTTTTTCAGGTTTTATAGTAACATATACAATGACTTGATCATGTAATAAGTACCTGGACTGGTTTTGTGCAGGCCTCCTATGTCTCCGGCTTCTTCCAGATCACACCTCTCCACAATTATTCTCATGAGTTTGGTCACTTGTGGGTGTTTAGCTGCTTCGAATAAAGGCTCATCGTCGGAACGGTTGCTTGAAGACGCTGAAGAAAAAGAATGATACATAAATATGGATAATAACAACAACAAAAAACAGATTGATAAATTAAAAAATTAAATCATTACAATACTACATGTTCTTTAATATTTATTTTCATGTTTTTTTTTTAGGAACACATTGTCTGGCTTCTAGAAATAGTCCTACACTCTTTTTGTTATGCTATGTATTTTAACTCTGTTTATATATCTTTACTAGCCAAGACTTTTTACCTGAAACATTCTTCTTTTTTGGCTTTTTGGGAGTTGTGTTCCTCTTTTTCTTTGCTGGTGAAGCTTTCGTTTGTTTGCCTGTACTTTTCCTTTTCACAAGATTAACTAAGGGTTCATAGTCCGAGTTGCCATCGGAGAGATCTGAGCTGCTGCTGGTCCACTCTGAAATATAAAACACAAATGCATGACACAGAATATTAGATGCTTTACAATTCTACACATTGTTGAATATTCTTTATCCAGTGAGGACTATTGCTTTTAGGACGACATTATTTCCACTGTGTGTATGATTTTACAATCACCTGCGTTCTTTTTCTTCTTTGCAGGTGAAGCCTTTGTTTTGTTTTTTGTTTGTCTGTCCGGGGTTTTCTTTTGCCCAACATTAATCAAGGGTTCATCATCTGAGCTGTCGCCTGACGTCTCTGAAAAAGTATTATTTTTAACGTCAGTGCAAGACAGATAATAAGAGAATGCTTCAGAACACCACGTCTTCTTAGAGGGGCCCTGTTATGCACCTTTTCAGTTTGATATATGTATATTGTACTCCTACCGTGACGTGTTTACATGCTGTCACGTACAAAAATACTGTTGTGATTGGACAACTGCATGGAGATGTCCCTACCCCATCTTGTACAATGTGTTGGAGCGCTAGCTAATGGAAGTGTAAGTGTTACATCGTGATGTCTTTATGTTATCGAAGGGGGTGTGGTTTGGGTAGTGGGTGGGAGAGAAACTCTCTCTGGAGGAAACGGAGGGATTTGAGCCTTTGCAGACCATTTACATGCATTAAACCTATAGAACACACTACAGGAAAGAGGGCCTTTTAAAAAATGGTTTCTAGGGAAGGGGTTTTCATAAGGAACCACATTATCTACACTGCTGGTGTAGTGATATGCTTTTTACTGTCACCTGTAATCCTCTTTTTTTTTTAGCAGGTGAAGCCTTCGGTTTGTTTTTTCTTCTTTTGTTTGTGCTTTTCTTTTTCCCACCATAAGAGCTGTCGCTCTCTGACTCTGAAAAATAATAATTGAAAACATAAATACCTAACACAATAGGTATGTGCTTCACAGTATAAACCATTTTCTAAGTTGTGGTTTAACATGGATTTTCTGTCACCTATGTTCTTCTTCTTCTTTGCAGGTGAAGCCTTCGTTTTCTTCCTTGTTTGTATGTTTGCGGTTTTCTTTTTCCCGAAATTACTCAAGGGTTCATCATCTGAGCTGCTTGTTGACTCTGAAAAAGTATGATTGGAAACATAAATACATCAAATAATAGGAATGTGTTTACCTCATTATCTCAACTGTTGGTGTTAAGATTTGCATTTTACCGTCACCTGTGTTCGTCTCCCTCTTTGCACGTAAAGCTTTTTGATTGATTTTTCTTTGTGTGCCTGTGGTTTTCTTTTTCGCAAGATTAATTACAGGTTCATCGTCTGAGCTGTCGCTTTTTGACTCTGAAAAATAAGTAATAAAAACACATCAATCACAGACATAAATATTTGTTGATCCAGTAACGTTTTTGCTGAGGAACCACATTATCTCCACTGTCAATTTGTATTTTCTGTCACCGGCATTCCTCTTCTTCTTCGCAGGTGAAGCCTTCGGTTCGACTTTTGTTTGTCCGTCTGTGCTCTTCTTTTTCCCAGGATTAATCAGGGGCTTATCGTCCGGACTATCGCTTGTCGACTCTAAAAAATATATGAATCAAACATAAATGATTGACAGAAAATAGAAATCCATAATTGTTTTAATCTATTCTTTCTATATTGTAAAATACTGTAATACTACAGAATACACAATGCTTAAAGAATTTGTATTCCTGTATTTATTTTCCTGTCTTTACAATTTGTTGTATATCCCTTTGTATTGCCTTTGAATGAGATAACACAATTAGAAATCAAATAAAAAAAGTTGTAATTATTTTAATATTAATAAAAGACAAGAACAAATGCTTTAAAATACTCACAATAACACAAAAAGAAAGATTTCATGAGTATCTGTTTTTCAAGCAAAGAGTTGGGAATCTCACTATTGATGTTACAATAAGTGTTTTCTTTTCTGTCACTCCAACTGGCTAACACTGGCTGAGCTGGACTCTTTACCTGACACATTTTTTGACTTTGTGTTCCTCTTCGGAGTTGAAGCCTTTTTGGTTTCTTTGTTCTTTTCCGAAAGATTACTCAAGGGTTCATCCTCTGAGCTTCCATCAGAGGATCCTGTCAAACAACAGCCACAGAAGTAAGGATATTAAAATGTCACCTACAAAGCAGCATCATGTTTTGATCATGTCATGATTCCTGCTACAATACCTCGTCTCTTTGTGGACCCTCTGCCTTGCGCTGCAGTTTTCTTCTTTGTGTTTTTCTTCACTGGTTCCTTCTTTTTGGCAGCCAGATTCACCAAGGGCACATCCTCATCACCGGAGCTGCTGTCTTTAGGCGCCTTTGTCAACTTCCTCTTCATTGGTGCCAGTGGTTCATCATCTGAGCTGTCACCGGAAGACTCATCGTATTTAACTACAACAAACAAAACATATAAATATTTGGTGAAAGTTTTACAAGTAAAGCATTTTTGATTACTTTTGACGTGCACATTTTCACTCATACCCTCTTTCCTTGCTGCGTTCCTTTTTGATCTGACGACTGGGGCTGCTTTTCTAGGAGTCCCAGATGGAGACTTTCTCTGACGATGGGGGTAACGTTTCTTGCCAGCTTTACTCAGAGGCTCATCATCAGAGTCATCATCAGAGTCATCATCGTCATCCATTGATTCTGGGTGAGAAAAGCAAGTAAGTACAAATACGTTTCTTCAACAGAGAAAAGCCTGCATGTCAATGTAGAGAACATATGTTACCTTTCTTCTTAATAACAACAGATTTCTTTGGAGAGACCGAGGAAGGCTTCTTTGCAGCTTTTGAGGGCTTTTTGGCCTTTCTTATGAGAGGCTCATCGTCGGAGTCATCATCTGTATTCTTATCTGAAACGTTTAGATATATAAAAAGATTTAAAGCCATACTTTATAGACAGCTGAAATGTTGTAAGTGACATGATTATGTAACAACCTGCTTTCTTGTCACGTGTGCCATTTGATTTGAGTGACTTGTTGTCTTTTTCCTCCACTTCCTCAGCTGGAGCAGAGACTTTTTTCTTTTTGATCAAAGGTTCATCATCTGAGGGGTCATCAGAAGCTAAAACAGGGGAAGGAATACAATTATAGAATGCATCAGCTTAGCTTTGAACTGTTACAAACTGTTGACAGTAGGGATGCTCCGATCGCCAATTTCGGGGCCGATCGTCGGAATCAGTATCGGCCGATACCGATCGCCGATCCGATCGAGTAGGCGGGGCCTAAATGGAAGATTTAAACATCACTTTAAATCTTCCATTTAAAGTGATGTTTAAAACTCAGTTAATGCGGCTCATTCACTGGAGCTTCCACAAACAACAATCAACTTAATTATTACATTCAAATGATGTACATTATTCAAGTTTACATTCACTTTGGATAATAACACGGGAGAAATTAGCGGAAGCGCTCTCTTTTCCTCTCTCCCCCTCTCTCCCTCTCCTGACAGCCTGTCAGTATCTCATGCAGCTCACTGATCCAGTAATTAGTGACCCGACACTGAAGAATACATATATTTGTAATAACTAGTTTAGCTTGTTCCAGAGGTATAAAATAGCTACGTGTGTTAGGTCTAACTCTTACGGTACGTCCACACAGCAGCTTTTCAAAAATCTTGGAGCTGAGCGTGTCTGAAAGCTTGGGGATTTTTTGCGACCAACAACCAATCACATGAATCTCCCGCCCCCGACATACAAAGCAAAAAACCCCAGGGATTTTATGCGAGCAATATATATATATATAAAATCCCCAAACAGGCGAAAACCTACCAGTTTCACCCACTGTCTCTGCCACCTCCCTCCATGCCTGGTTCCTCCGGTTTGTATCCCGTTAATAGTTCTGGTCGTAAAGAACCGGGTGATTTGCTACCGTAATTTCTCGTTTGGAATATGAGGAAATGAACTGCGGTCTGGTTCTCCCTGTGTGTGTGTTTCGCTGCGCTTACCTGTCCGGCGGGCGGAGCTGCAGGATTTCTGCTTCACACACGTTGCATACCGCTATTTTACTGTCTTTTTCGGACACCTTAAAATAATGCCAGACCGGTGAAGCCATTTTGGCGAGCTTGTTTTGCCGCTCACAGAGAAAAGTGTCATGTATTTTACGTCATGCGATCGGCTCTCGCGATCGGCATGTTTAGAGAGCACCGATTGATCGGTAGAGAGTGAGTATCGGCCGATCTCGATCGGAGCATCCCTAGTTGACAGTCAGTCTTATTATTTTTTTAACTCACCTTGTTCGTCCTTTGAGTTAACGTCGTCTTCAGAGCAGGAGCTGTTATTCTCTGATCAGACATGATGAAGAAAACAGTAATAACAAAATGACTTACAAGTTCAACAATATATTTGGACCCAACAAAATTCCCTTTTGTCTACTATACATATCCTGATTTAAGTATATGTTCCACTACTTATAGCCAACTCTACAATTAACTCAGAAATGTGTGTATAGTTAACGAGACTGAAAACAAGGCATATCCCATAACAAAATATTTCCTTAACTAGGTAACTTAAGTAAACATTGTCATAAAACAGTAGCCTATAAATAGGTTAGTGACCACTCCTGCAATCAAAAATATGTAGTGAAAGTACTTGAGTTTGGTTAGCAAAGCACATGTAAATATGTTGCTTATAGACGACTACTGATCAATGCACAAGTCAAGTTTAACCTGTTTGTATTATACTTAAAAATATGTTTGTAAAGGGGGGAAAAAGTATTGAGATATAGAGTAGTAAAGTTTCTAAATACTAGAAGTTTGAACTCCTACCCTTTTTCCTTGCTGCGTTCCTTTTTGATCCGACGACTGATGCCGCTTTTCTAGGAGTCCCAGATGGAGACTTTCTCTGACGATGGGGGTAATGTTTCTTGCCAGCTTTACTCAGAGGCTCATCATCAGAGTCATCATCAGAGTCATCATCGTCATCCATTGATTCTGGGTGAGAAAAGCAAGTAAGTACAAATACGTTTCTTCAACAGAGAAAAGCCTGCATGTCAATGTAGAGAACATATGTTACCTTTCTTCTTAATAACAACAGATTTCTTTGGAGAGACCGAGGAAGGCTTCTTTGCAGCTTTTGAGGGCTTTTTGGCCTTTCTTAGGAGAGGCTCATCGTCGGAGTCATCATCTGTATTCTTATCTGAAACGTTTAGATATATAAAAAGATTTAAAGCCATACTTTATAGACAGCTGAAATGTTGTAAGTGACATGATTATGTAACAACCTGCTTTCTTGTCAGGTGTGCCATTTGATTTGAGTGACTTGTTGTCTTTTTCCTCCACTTCCTCAGCTGGAGCAGAGACTTTTTTCTTTTTGATCAAAGGCTCGTCATCTGAGGGGTCATCAGAAGCTAAAACAGGGGAAGGAATACAATTATAGAATGCATCAGCTTAGCTTTGAACTGTTACAAACTGTTGACAGTCAGTCTTATTATTTTTTTAACTCACCTTGTTCGTCCTTTGAGTTAATGTCGTCTTCAGAGCAGGAGCTGTTATTCTCTGATCAGACATGATGAAGAAAACAGTAATAACATTTACATTTTGGTCTGGCAAAATGACTTACAAGTTCAACAATATATTTGGACTAGGGCTGGGCGATTTTAACGATTAATTTGCATTTTTACTTTCCTACGGTTTGTGAAATGGCTGAAACGAAAAATCGCGATTTAAAAACATTTCTAGACTCCGCAGATTTGTTTTGCTTTAAGGGACTCCGTAGTAGCTTACTCTCTCACTTTCCAGAACGCGCACAAAACTCAGCCACATTGCCTGTGACTACCCGATCTGCAGCTCTGTGTACACATATATCACTTAAATGATTCAATACATCCTTTGTACTGAAGTATTCAAGAGTAAATAAAGTTTAATATAAATGATTTGCTGTGGCCAATTGTTTTCATTGCATTTACAGACCCGTGTAAATCTCTGATACCACCCAATGAATGCATTGACTTGCTTGTAGAACCACGCTACACAAAACAGATAGCAACACCTATACAAACTATTTTTAAAAAAAAAGGGGCTACTGTATCGACCTATATAAAGTATATAAATATTTTTTTTTTCTTCAAAATACCAAAAAGATCCTGCATTTGAGCCATGCCTCATTTCGCTCCATTTGCTTTTTCCAGCGCTGTTTTTGCAGGGGGCTGATTCTGTGAGCTGCAGCTGACCACGCCCCCCTGCAGGAGAAGGGAGCGTGCTCTGAGATCAGCTGCTGGGCTGTCAGTAGAGGGGGAGGAAAAGAGATCTCCGTCCTCCGTGTTTTATTCTTATAGAAGTAAGAAGAGAAGTAATGGGGCAGAAACCCTCCTTTTTACGCAGCGGTCCAGACATAGACATCAAACGGCGACACATATTCAGTTGGCAGTTCCTTTGGCATTAGGGCAGGGATATCTAGATACTTTCCAAGGTCTGACATCATGAAGTGTGCTACTTTTAAAGCAAGCAACGATGTTTTCAAATCTGTAATCAAAAAGCTCCTCAAAAACACTATCGAAGCACTTCCTGCCGTTGCTACGTTAGTTCAAACAGTAACAACGGACTACTTTTCTTAGCGAATGCTTGTCAATTTAAATCAATACATAAAACTATTTTTTAAATCAATAAAATCATTTTCTAAATCCATAAAAGCATTTCAATTACTATTGGGAGTCATGTCGTTATTTTGTTGAGAATGTGGCCATGTGTAATAAGCGGGATAATGTGCACATTGCATAATGTGCCTTCATGCCGATCTAGATCCCTCCGCAAAAAAAACAAAAAACGGCTCGTTCGCGGGCGAGAGCCGGCTCCCGTCGTTCACTTAAAAGAGCCAGCTCTTTGAGCCGGCTCTTTATAGAGTGATATAGAGTAGTAAAGTTTCTAAATACTAGAAGTTTGAACTCCTACCCTTTTTCCTTGCTGCGTTCCTTTGTGATCTGACTGAGGCCGCTTTTCTAGGAGTCCCAGATGGTGACTTTCTCTCACGTTTGGGGTAATGTTTCTTGCCAGCTTTACTTAGAGGCTCATAATCCGAATCATGATCATCGTTATCCAGGGATTCTGTGTAAATAATGATAGTTACAATTACGTGTCTGCTACAGAGAACAGCACCTTTCTGTTACATGTCAATGTAGAGAACACACACTGACTGGCCACTTTATTAGGTTCATCTGTTCAACTGCTTGTTAATACAAATATCTAATCAGCCAATCACATGGCAGCAACTCAATGCATTATATAGACATGGTCAAGACGACCTGGTGAAGTTCAAACAGAGCATGAGAAAGGGGAAGAAAGGTGATTTAAGTGACTTTGAACATGGCATGGGTGTTGTGCCAGACGGCTGGTCTGAGTATTTCATAAACTGCTGATCTACTGGGATTATCACACACAACCATCTCAAGGGTTTACAGAGAATGGTCCGAAAAGGGAAAATATCCAGTGAGCGGCAGTTCTCTGGGCAAAAATGCCTTGTTGATGCCAGAGGTCAGAGGAGAATGGCCAGACTGGTCCAAGATGATAGAAAGGCAACAGTAACTAAAATAACCACTCGTTACAACCAAGGTATGCAGAGGACCATCTCTGAACGCACAACATGTGGAACCTTGAAGCAGAGGGGCTACAGCAGCAGAAGACCACACAGGTTGCCACTCCTGTCAGCTACGGACAAGAAACTGAGGCTACAATTTGCACAGGCTGAACAAAATTGGACAATAGAAGATTGGAAAAATGTTGCCTGGTCTGATGAGTCTCGATTTCTACTGCAATATTTGGACCACAGGGTCAGTTTGGTGTAAACAACATGAAAGTATGGATCCATCCTGGCGTCTATCAACGGTTCAGGCTGGTGGTGAAGGTGTAATGGTGTGGGGGATATCTTCTTGGCATACTTTGGGCCCCTTGGGCATGGTTAAAACGCCACAGTCTGCCTGAGTATTTTTGCTGACCATGTCCATCCCTTTATGACCACAGTGTAACCATCTTCCAGCAGGATAACGTGCCATGTCACAAAGCTCAAATCATCTCCAACTGGTTTCTTGAACATGACAATGAGTTTACTGCCACTAAAATGGCCTCCACAGTCAGCAGATCTCAATCCAATACAGCACCTTTGGGATTTGGTGGAACGAGAGATTTGCATCATGGATGTGCAGCCGACCAATCAGCAGCAACTGCGCGATTGCCATCATGTCAATATGGACCAAAATCTCTGAGGAATGTTTCCAGCACCTTGTTGAGTCTATGCCACAAAGAATTAAGGTGAAGCTGAAGGCAAAAGGGGGTCCAACCCGGTACTAGCAAGGTGTACCTAATAAAGTGGCTGGTGAGTGTATGTTACCTTTCTTCTTCAAATCAACTGATTTCTTTGGAGAGACCGAGGAAGGCTTCTTTGCAGCTTTTGAGGGCTTTTTGGCCTTTCCTATGAGAGGCTCATCATCCGAGTCATCATCTGTATTCTTATCTGAAACGTTTAGATATATCAAAAGATTTAAAGCCATACTTTATAGATAGCTGAAATGTTGTAAGTGACATGATTATGTAACAACCTGCTTTCTTGTCACTTGTGCCATTTGATTTGAGTGACGTGTTGTCTTTTTCCTCCACTTCCTCAGCTGGAGCAGAGACTTTTTTATTTTTGATCAAAGGTTCATCATCTGAGGGGTCATCAGAAGCTAAAACAGGGGAAGACATTAACATACAACGTGTATTACCTTAGCTTTTAACCATCACAAATTGTTGGCAGTCTGTTTTATTGTTTTGAACTCACCACGTGTGTCCTGTTTTGACTTAATGCTCGAGCTGTGTGTGTTTTCATGTGACTGCTTCTCCTCAATGTCTGGCTTGGCCTGGAGCTTTGAGAGAGGAACGTCATCTTCAGAGCAGGTGTTCCCTGATCAGAGACACAATGAGATGAATAACAATAATAACATTTCAAATTTGGTCTATTAAAATGATCATAAAAGTTTAACAAAACATTTCTACCAAATGCATTATCTGATTTAAGAAAGTATTTTCCAGATATTGGAAGTGACTAAACATTTGACTCAGAAATGTATTTAAAGTTTAACACTCTTTAACAGATACTTAGAGACTAAAAAGAAGGCATGTCCACAATTGAGTAATACAAATGTGGATTTCTTCGACACATAAGTAAAAGTTGTATTAGAACAGTTAAAAACACTTTGGGGACAAGTTCTGAAATCAAAAGTACCATAACATTTTACTGAGGTACAGTGCTTAAACAACTCCCCGCCACAGCTTTTTACCAGTAGTACCACTAGTATAGACCACTATAGTGCATACAAATTAATCTACTAACACATTGCTCACATTTCCTTTTTTTCTATATTAAAGTTACAGCATAAGGATGATTGTTTGTCGCCTGTAGTTACAGAGTTTATTTTAAGTAATAGTAGATACAACAGTTTAAAATAATTGAGAGATAAAAGTAACGTTACTATAACATTTTACCCATCTACGGTAGACCGTTTTAACTACTTTCAACACTGTTAATCCTATCAAACTCTCTTAAATACTATCCTGGTAAATAATGTCATTGTATTGGTCAGTTTGAAACTCTACCATCTTCACTGTTAAAATACACAGTAGTAAAAGCAGTTGTGGTAGTGTTTTACTTCAATACTGTAAGCTAATTTTAGCTTTTAGCTGCAACGCAGTCCAATACATCGTTTGGATATGAATTAGCGTTAAATAAACAAAACAAACAAATAGTAAGGCTAACAACCTGGAGGGTCTTGAGCCACTTGACTCGGAACGTCCGCCGTGTTGCAGTCCATGGTGTTGCTCAGTACGAGTTAATCAATACTCTGGATCCGAAACGCGCCAATCTGCTTGAACTGCACTGCAGCTGTTAGCCTCTGAGTTAGCTAAATGTTTGTTGTGATTGTTGTCACCGGCAGTTACGTGTGCTGGTCCGCGATACTTAAACGACAGTCCCTGTGCCACAGAGTGTCACCAAACACGCTTTAAAATCCAGTTTCTACAGTCCTCATTAATTTAATATTTTCAGGGGTTTTTGTTTTCTTCCGTGTCGTTGTCACTGTCACTACCCGATCTGCAGATCTGCAGTGCGCATGTGCGAGATGGTCCGCCATATTGGACAACTCTGTACGGCAACAAAAGAAGGACATTTGACACAGTGGCTTTTGGCAAAGCACAAAAAGAAAACTCGAGAGGGATGAGTTATTGTCATTACAACGTGACTTCACTATTATTTAACAACTATTTTTATTGGGTTATTTTTATTTGGGGTTAAGTACATTGTCAGAATAAGTGAGAAATTAATTTAACTTCTGTTAGACAGCTATCATACTGAATACATATTTACTGTGAATGTATGCAAAAATGTAAGGCATATAGCTGTCTAATGCGGCTTTCACACCAGCGCTTTTCCCTTTCTAGCTCCGAGCGGTAGCTTTTCTGGTTCAGCTCCGGTTTCCCTTTTCTGCTCCCGCTCTGTTCACACCACCCAGAGCTGCGGCTGCTGTGTCATGACGTCACCATTTACGTGCCTGCTTCATAAAATCCAAACCGCGCGGATATCCCTCACATCGACAACAACAACAATGGCCGATTGTATAGAAGCGCTGTTCGATTTGGTTATCCTCTTACGAAACGAAATGGAAGGCACGACTTTACTTGGAACTTTACAAACATCACATGTGAAATGCAAGACTTCTTTGTGGTCTTCAGCATCTACTTCAACGACAAATCTGCCCCTGCCCCCGCCTGGACGTAAGAGAGACGTAAGCGACGCCGCCTCTTAACTCCGAAGCTCTTGCCTCTAGACTGAGGGGTCCTTGTGAGGATGCGCCCACCTCTCCAAACACCACGGCAGGCCGCAAGCCGGTTGCTGTAACGGACAAAGACAAATATCTGCAAGCTGACGACATTGTGCATTTAAGCAACAAAAATGGACTACATATTTTTCATCTGAACACTAACAGCCTGAGACACAAACTGGCTGAACTCAGGCAGCTATTCATGAATGGTAAGGCAAGCATATCATGCTTTCCTGAGACCAAATTGGACAATTCCATTACAGATTCAGAGATTGAAATTGAAGATTATCTTGTAGTGAGAAGGGACAGGAACGTGAATGGAGGTGGTGTCTGCATGTACATACATAAAGACACCAATTTCAAAAACCGTACTGACCTGCATCATGAAAATATTGAATCTGTGTGGGTTGAAATTCTTTTTGACAATGCTAAATCTGTAATAGTCGGGACAATCTATAGACCACCGGAACAGAGTGACTTTTATGATACATTAGATGGGTGTTTGGCTGATGTGGGGGATGTAGAGACAATTATTATTGGAGACTGGAACACGGATATGCAACGTAAAGACACGTCCGTCTTCAAGTCCTTCAGTAGGATTTGTGATCTGCACGGCTTCAGCCAGCTAATCACCCAACCCACCCGGGTATGTGAAACAACACAAACTACCATTGATCTCATTCTGACCTCTGACAAGTCCAGGATCTCCAGTAAAGGGGTTATAGCATGCGGTTTAAGTGATCATTATATGATATTCTGTACCCGCAAAAAGCTAAAACAAAGGGCCGGCTGTCACAAAACAGTCATATCTAGAGACCTCAAAAACTACTCTAGCGAGGCCTTTAACCTAGAACTGGAGAGCCTGGACTGGTCAGATGAGCTCAGTGGTACACAAGTTGAAGAAACATGGCTTGGTTTCAAAAACAAATTCTCTGCAATACTCAATGATTTGGCCCCCCTAAGAACAACCAGGGTAAAAAATCGCGCTGAGCCGTGGATGCACTCCGGCATACTGACCGCCATGAAAACCAGAGACAAAAAATGCTCTGAGTTTCATAAAAGTCAATCAATGCTTTCCAAAAGCACGAGCAGTGAACTCCAGGCCCACGTGACTGAACTCAAAATTGAAAGAAACAGACTAAGAAATGACGTAAGCTCCATGATCAAAACTGCCAAAAAGAATTGCATCAATGTCAAAACTGAGGAAAACTAAAATAAACCCCGTGAACTTTGGAAATTACTCAATAACCAGCTTGGCTGCAGTAAAAAACTCAAAACGAGATTTTCGAACTTAAACATAAAGACAGATAACAGGCTCATCACAGACAAACTGGATGTGGACAAGTACTTGAACATTTTTTTCACAAACATAGCCACAACTCTTGTAAATAAATTACTCTCCCACTCAGGGCTTTTTGGAGTAGATCACATCATGACCTACTACAAAAACCTAGGGGTACGCAAAGATGATTTTAGTCTAGCAAGGATAACAACAGCAGAGGTACTCATTAAACTGAGCGCCCTCCAACCTAACAAGGCCACTGGCCACGACAATATCCCCTCCAAATTCCTCAGAGACACAGCAACCGCCATCTCACCAGTCATAGCTCACATAATTAACCTCTCCATAAAACAGGGCAAAGTACCCAAAAGCCGCTTTCACACCGCAGGACTTGCCGTACTTTAGTGCCCGCACTAAAGTACCACGGCACTGAATCCGCCAGGGAGCTAGTGCCAATCGCATTCACACTGCAGTACTTTCCCTGAGGCAAGATTACGCTGACGTCACTTCGTCTTCTTCTTCTCTGGGTTTACTGGCAGGCCGCAAAACCACTTCACGGCGAGTACAAAAAAAAACGAGAGAAGAAGAACTACACGGGGGAGGGGGTATAAAGCCCACCCGCTGTATGAGGCGTTTGTTTACTTTCCGATCTCAGACATGATGGAGTTCATAAGGGTAATAAGGGTAATTTACAAATAAAATACCCCAATATAACAATGGACTTTATCTTTATGTATTTATTATATATTACCCCCTCAGGCTGATTTTGGAAAAGGACATTAACCCTTGTTTGGTGTTTTTCCCTTATTTATCTAAAACAAATGACATGATAAATTACTTGTGTTTATGTGTGTAAGACTTGTGTTTCTGCCCCTGCCATTGCTGCACAAGGTTGCAACATTGTAGATAAATTCAACCACCGACACCTGTCTGCTCTCACATTCTTCTATTCTGCAAATTTGGGGTGGGACACAATAATAACAATAGAAAATCGTTACCACTCTTATTATTGTGGTCTTTAATTTTTTTATAGTCCTGCCTGAGTTACTTTATTTTTACCCGGCATCCGTGTGCACTGTGCACGATTCCCAGCTCAAGTAGCTTTTGCGAACATCGTTCAAAACATTTGGAGTTGGGAACTGCTTTCTGTAGAAGCTGCTGCATCCCGTCCTCAGAGTAAATTGCCAGAAGCGCCGACACTTCCTCATTATTCCACGCTCCGATGTTGTAGTACGTGTGGTCATAACTGCTTTAAAGTACAAAAAAACGATCGCTCAGGTGTGGATGTGGTTTTGTAGCGAGGAAAAAAATGGCTGCCTAAAAAAAAAAATTCAGAGTCTAACGGGGCGTGGTTTGCAATTCGCCCAGCCAATAGAAATAGAATAGAAATTGGCACTCTTTTATCACCAGGTTCGTACCACCTCTCTAGCAGGGATTGAAAATGGCCAAAAGAGTTCCCGGCACTGAGTAGTCCCGGCGGTGTGAACGTGACATTATTGGTACTAACAGAACTAAAGAACCAAAGTACCAGGGAAAGTCCTGCGGTGTGAATGCGGCTAATGACTTCAAAATGGCAAGAGTAACCCCCCTGCACAAAAAGGGAAGCAAATTAGACCCAGGCAACTACTGCCCTGTTTCTATACTTACCTCCATCTCGAAAGTCATGGAAAAAATTGTATATGAACAGGTCGAAAAAGTACCTCGTGGAAAATAAACTAATCTATGAATTTCAATCTGGCTTTAAAACATCCCACTCCACTGACACATGCCTTCTTTATTTGAGCGACCACATCAAACAAGAGGTGG